CTTTGGGGAACAGCAAGACCCCAGGAAGTGGGTTTTGTTGATGGCGGAGGTCAGGAGAACCTGGAATCTGGGCACAGCTGGTGGGCTTGGCCAGGACTGGACTGAGGTTTCCAGGCAACGCTCAAGGCTGGGGCAGCGTTGGGTGGACAGAGCCGCGCTGACAGGAAAGGTAGGAAAACAGGGGCGAATCTAACAGAGGCTGTCACCAATGCCATGGACTGTGCAGCCTCACAGAGATGGCCTCGTTTGCACCCCTGTGGGGCACCCAAGGGAAGTCTCTATTCTGTCACAGTAAGGCTGATTTTATCTCTGTGATTTGCCTAAACGTCTCTGCTGACATGTATTCTGCCTGGTACTAGCCATCCCCACCCCCACCCACTGCATTTAGTCCCTTTATGCTGTTTTTCTTTTTCTTTTTTTTTTTGGTAGTAGAGGTTTTTGCTGTAGGGCGCATGTGCTCGCCAGAAAGACAGAGAGAGACAGAGAGACAGAAAGCGAGAAATCACCCTCCAGGGGGATGGCCACGCTGCAATCCCTTCTCCTCTATTCTCCTCTCGGGATCTTGGGCACACACACGCCCGGCGTGAATTTAAGTCACCGGATTCGGATTTTGAACCGCAGTCGACTGCATGGGAGTCCAGCGACATAGCCATTACACTAACCGCTGGTCCCAATCCCTTTATGGTTTAACAAGCGGGGATTAAAAAGCTCAAGGAGAGTGCACATTCTAAACTACCAGAAGGGCAGGCTGTGTCTGTATCGTGTCTTCCCACAGGCAGGAGCCCAGAATTATTCACTGTACTATAAATTGTTCACATCTACAGAGAGGAAAGAATATTCGCTGGAACCCAGTGGACATTGATAGTGATGTTTGCCAGGAAGTTTTTGTAGGTTTTTTTTTTTTTTTTTTTTTTTTGTGAAGAGTAAGGGTGGGCTGCAAGTTAGCAGAATTCGCTCCCACCTGCATTCCTCTTTCCTTCCCCTCAGTCAAGGACTCTGCTGGGTGTTCAGTTTACTGAATGGACGAACTCAGCGTACAGAATGAGAAGCTCAGTTATCTCTATTAGTTTCCAGAGGAAGTGTCCCATTGTCTGCAGAGATTCCAGGTGTGAACCCAGGGGGCCTGGGAAGGGTGCATTCTGGCTGCAGTGGCCATTGGGCTGGCCACGCAGAGGTGGGTCTTCACTTCTTCTTCCAGCTGGGCTTTGCCGTTCTCGTCCCTGGGCAGCGGTGGCGTGGCGCTAGCACCGTGCTCAGCAAAGTTGAGCCCACGTGGGAGGGGCCCAGGCTCGCGCCCCGAGGTCTCCCTGTGCCTTCCTGACCGGTATGTGTGTGCCCTCAGTCTGGGCTGAGGCTGAGAGGAGGCTGTAGCATCATGACCCTGCTGGGGGTAGTGTGCACGCTCTCTCTTTCTCTCTCCCCTCTCTCTCAAGAAATAAATAATTTAAAAAAATGTTAAGAAGTTTTTGCCTTAGGCACATGCACTCTCTAGAAAAAGATAGAGACAGTGTGAGGGAAAGTGAGAAATCAGCCCCCACGAGGGATGGCCATGCTGCAATCTCTTCTTCCCTATTCTCCCCTCGTGATCTTGGGCATGTGTGCACATGCACCTGATGTGACTTTTTTTTTTGAGAGCTTTTCGTTATGGGGCATGTGCGCTCGCCAGACAGACAGAGAGAGAGAGACAGAAAGCGAGAAATCACTCCCCAGGGGGGATGGCTACGCCGCAATCCCTCTTCCTCCATTCTCCTCTCAGGATCTTGGGCACGCACGCACACGTGCCTGGCGTGAGTTTAAGCCACCAGATGCGGGACTCGAACTGCGGACAACTACATGGGAGTCCAGCAACATAGACATTACGCTAACTGCTGGTCCCCCTGATGTGATTTTTAAGCCACCATGTCTGCGACTCAAACCACGGTCAGCCATGTGGGAGTCCAGCCGTGTAACCGGTAAGCTAATTGCTAGCCTCTTACATTTTTTTAAAGTCTGAAATATCCTTTTTTAAAACAAAACAAAACAAAACAAAAAACCCACTTTATTTATTTATTTATTTAAATTTGACCAGAGAGGGACAGAATGAGAGAGAGAGAAAGTGAGAAACCAAGCCACCAGGTCTGGGATTCGAACCATGGTCGGCCATGTAGGAGTCCAGTGCCCTTAACCACCACCTGCCGACCCCCTTAATTTTTTTAAAAAAGAATTTTTTAAACTTTATTTATTTATTTCAAATTGACCGGAAAGGAACAGAGTGAGAGAGAGAGAAAGTGGGAAAGCAAGCTGCCAAGTCCAGGACTTGAACTGTGGTCAGTTATGTGGGAGTCCAGCATCTTTTACTTTTTTTAATTATGTTTATTTAGCGTATGTACACATAAAAGAGAAATTGCCCTCGGATCCTACCCAGCAGAAAACATGCACAAACCCAAGGTATATGTGGAGGGGAGGGGCCCTGGCCCCGAGTTAGCGGCTGGGATGGTGCAATCCTATGAGTCAAGCCCCAGTCAGCAGAGGGCTGGACTGAGCGTTGGGCAGGCTGGAGCTCCTGCTGTTTGCCCTAGAACAGGTGCGCGCCATGGCCAAAGGTCTGACTGATGCCCTTGAAGTAGTAGCGCTGCCAGCCCTGCCCGCGTCCGC